AATCTCATCCCCAACCTCTTTTTTTTAAATATACGGTTAATCCGTTCTGAACCATATTTTTTTTTTTTTAAACCACAAAAATATGACACAAAGTACAGTACAAAGAGAGAGAACGCTACTTCTGGCGTGGAGGACAGGAAGGCGGGAGGGGAGGCGGATATTGCTTGGAGGGAGAGTCCCCCTCCCTACAGGAAGCCGCGACCATGTGTCACAGCAGGGAAAATGGCCGTGGTTCCTGTTCGTCACCCGATCCAGCGTTCGTGAACGGAGGCAAAATTTTGCGAACGGAGTTGTTCATGAACCGAATTGTTCGTGAACAGAAGCGTTTGTGAACCGAGGTACCACTGTATTATAAAGAAGTGACATCTGATGTTTTTGACAGTGATTATAAATGCATTTATATTTTACCCTCTCTAAAGTTACTTCATAATTTCCTCCTTCCATAAGCTACCCTTTCTAACCTTCAAACCCATAAATGACAAGTTCATTTTTCTCTTTTTTCAACAAAAAGTCCAAAAGAGGTTTCCAGTCACTCATAAATGTAGTTGTTGACCCTTCTCTAATCAAACAAGTTAATTTTGCTAGTTCTGTCGTTTCACCAGCCATTCCTCCATTGTGGGTATTTCAGAACCTTTGCATTTTTGCACACATAATAGCCTCGCAGCAGTAATCATATATATAAAATAATCTACCATGGCTCTTTTCTAACTGACCATCCATTAATCCCAGCAAGAAAAGTTCTGGTTTCAGGTGAATGTTGATCTTTAAAATTCTTTGTATAATTATATGTATTTGAACCCAGACATTTCTGGCTTTTTTTACAAATCCACCAAGCAAAAACCTCATCCTCAGCCTATGACCACTTGTTGTACTCACAGGACCTGATTTCAGAATTAACTCTTTCAAAAGTTTATTTGCACCAGGCTGCAGTTGATCACTTGTAATTTTTCAGGTAGTTTTCCTAAGCAGTGCGCTGCTACCAGGGGCTTCAGCTAAGGCAGACGGGATAAGCCGCAGGTCTCTCTGCTGAGTCTCCCGCTCCTTCCACGACGAGGGCTCTCTCAAAGCCCTGAGTGGCAGCGAGGGCGCCCCGAACCTTTCCAAGCCGCCTTCCAGGCAGAACATCTAATGCTGAGGCTCTACAGCAGCCTTTTTCAAAGCCTCCTGGGTTTCTACCAAGGGAGGGGCAAGCTCGAGGCCGAGGCCAACGCGAGGGAGAAAAGGTGCAGCAGTTTTGGCACCGCTTACCGGCTGGGCTTCTCCTTCGAAGCTCTTCCCGCTGAGCACCGTGCCCAGCAGCAGCCACGCCGCGGTGTTCATGCTTGGCGGCTCTTCTCAGAGCTGCCTCCTAGCCTCCCGGCTTGGCTCGCTCGCTCGCCCTCTCTTCTCGCCTAGGCTCTCGAGGATGGCTCAGCCAGCCCTTCTGGCCTCTCCCCCCGCCACATTTGTACCCTTCCTCCGCCCCGCTCCGGATCACAACCTACAACTCCGCCAGGAGCTCACTGCTCAGAGGCAGCCCTGCCAACTCGGGTTGCAGGGCGAGGAGATAAGAATCACGTCTCACACGCTGCCTTTCAGGAACGGAAAAGCCGGAACGCGCAGACGGCTAGAGGTTCTGGCCCTTCTCCCTCCGCAGGCTGAAGCATCAGCGGCGCCTCGTCCGTAGCCCTCCTCATTTTCCGAGGGTCTTGAGGGCGCTGGGGTAATTGAAATAAAGCAGTCAAAATTATTTACATGCCTTGACTTTATTATTCACTTTCCGGCTGGAAGGCAGAAACGTAGGGCGAGGGAACGCAACTCAGAGCAAGCAGGATGGTCATCAGCTGCCAATGGAGCCGGCTGTATGTCTCCTTTATCACCGTACTGTTGTTATAATCATTCTTCATCCCGAAGGAATGTAATTTCACTATTTTTAAAATTAGCAGTATCTTTTTAAGACATGGCATATTGTAGCATATAGATACAGATATTCTCGAAGTTGCCTTTTTACTATCCCTGGTCCACAGCCAATATACTAACATGTGCTGATACGCTTGCTAGTGATTTGGCTGTAGACTAGGGCTACGTGAAAGCCCAACTTCAAAATGTTACTTACTTGGCCACTTGCTTTCTCTCACCCTAACCTACTTTACAAGGTTGTAAAGAAATTCAAAATCAGAACCACTTGTTCAATGTTTAGCGTGGAGAAATAAACATCTAATTCTGTAAAATTCTTAATATTATACATGTTGGTCAAAAACCGCAATACAGATTTAGCTACCTACCTTAATGTTACAGAAAAAAGATGACAAAAAGATGCAATTGCATCTGATGAAGTACACCCAACCCCAAAGTTTATTACACAACATATCTGTTCATCTTCACCACGTCACAATATGTCTTTTTAAGGAATGTTTAATGAAATGGCTGTATCTCCTTGAATGTTGTAGAAATACAAACTGGCTTTAAATTATTTCATCTCTTTTATGAATGTACTACCTTGATATGTAACTCAAATGAGAACTAACAACTTATCATTTTGTGTTTAGGTAATACCAAATATCTGTTCAATCAGATCTGAATAGTACATGGATATTGTTGAAAAAAAATGCATGGAATATGATTGGGACCTTTGATCCATGTATTTAGAAATAAAATGGCAATTTAATAAATTATTAAGACTTATTTTTATGGGATGGTAGAGGAACTTTACCTGATTAAATTTTGCTGAAGCCTCATGGCTAAGAGTATTTATATTTTATCTCATTGCTAAATGAACACAACCAAAATGGTCTATTTTTGTCTGGACAAAGGTTCAGATAGTAAAAGTTAGGGTTAAAGTCAGAATTAAATTAAGGGTAGTAAAGTATACGTTGTAATTTTAGGTAATCTTGATGCACAGGAATGTATCCTTCAGCTGAAGATGGCCATTTTCATAGTATGAAAATATTTTGTAATAGCTCTCCAGAACAGAAGTCAACATCGCAAACTTGTTTTTGTCATACTTCAGGGTGTGGGTTTAGACTCAGAATTTACCTATCTGAATGTTCCTCTATGCAAAATGTGCCTTTGCATATGAAAAAAATGCAAATGAAAAGGACTGTGGTATCACAATATCCTTAACATCTAATTTTCTGAACACATAACTTGGAGTGCAGGGGGTGTGAGAGAGGAACATTCACTGCTACAATCGAGAGGTAAAAGTTCATGTCCTTATTTCCTGTTTATAGTAGACAAGGATACCCTAACAGTAGCAGAAGAACTATTTTTTCATGATTTACATAACTAGCTCAACGATAGGAGCAATTTAATATCTGTTTGAGTAAAAAGAGAAACTATGTTTGATTTTTCTCAGTTTAGTTCTGGTAGCAGCTGCAGAATCTTTCCAGTTGATAGGAGAAGTAGCAGGGTATTTTTCAATTTGATGTATATGTTCTTCATCTCACATTGCCAGAATGGTCTCTCTTGCTTTTCACTCAGCTAACAGTTGTGTGGCATATGCTATGGCAGAGGTAGGAACTTCTACCTCTCCAGATACTGTTGAACCAGAACTGCTGACATCCCTCATCATTGCACATGCTAACTATAATTTAATAATATCTGAAGGGCCAAATTCCCAAATTCTGCATTTAATAATAGAAATCTGTATCTTTTTATCTATATCATATCTAGACCCTTCATATAGCGTGTAACACTTGATAAACACTGGTTTGCTAAGTTGCCAAGACTTGAGCTGGATGTCTGAAGATTGAGCCCCTTTCCCCATTAAAAGAAAGAATGATCTAGAACAGGGGTCTCAAACTCACAGCCTCCATGTCATTCGGAGTGGTCCATATTTCACTGACACACAAGGCAGGAAAAGAATAGCAGAGATGGCCGAGCAGCTTGCTGATCCTGGCATAAAACTTTCTGTGCCATTGCCAATCCCTGTCCTGCCCCGTACCATCTGTTCTGGATTGCTGCCAAATGATGGTGTCCTGATTCTGAATATGTAGAGGGCTTGGTTTAAAACAAACAAACAAAAAAATCAGACACAACTTGTCACACTTGTTTCTCTGGAATTACTAAATCAAATTACTTTCGTGAAAGTATTACTGTAGTATGGAGGGGGAAAGGAGAAAAACTGAAGGAAACTCATGCTTTCAGCTGGAAAATCATGCATTTTGATGCAGATGAGATTGAACTGGAGAAAAAAGAATGCCATTCATTCGAGAGAAGGCGCTCCTCTGCCTCCTCCCCTCGCCTGGATGGACAAGAGTGACCTGCTCCCAGACCCGGAGGCCTACAACACTACAAGAGGCGTTGCGATCACTGCACCCCGGAGGGTTGGCCCGCCTATAGAGGTCACCTCACCCCGCTCCTTTCTCGCGCATTCCTTCCAGGAACGGAAAGGGGGAGGAGAAGAACGATACGCTTCCATCTCTCTAATTTGGACGCAAGGGTTCTGGCAGTCCAGCCCCACAGGAACCCGCCTCCTTCCAGTGCTCTTTGGACTGGGCAGATGTCTGTCAGCAGAGCCGAAGTCGCCGCTCGAAAGTTTCGCTCCTCATCACGACTGCGCGAGGACTCCGTTCTGCTGGGGTTTTGCGGGGAGGCAAACGCAGCTCCGGGACCCGCGGCAGAGGGAAGGGCGCGCGCCAAGCTCAGCTTGTTTGAGTGAGTGGGTGAAGCCAGCACGTGGCGCCGGGGCGGGGCTGCCTTAGCAGAGGACGTGGTCGAAGGAGGCAGAGTTGGGTGGAGAGATAGAACGCTCGGGACGGCGGAGTGGGTCGGGTTGCCACGGAAACTCTTGTCTCCGCCCCCGCCCGCGCCTCGCTTCAAAGTTCTTTGGGCAGCGCCCAGGCTCGCAGCTCTTTGCGTGCTCCAGCCTGCCCTAAAAGTAAGCCGCTCTGCGAGGAAGAAAAGAGTTTTGAGAGGGGCGTAAACGCCTCTTATGCAGCGACCACACATCCGTCTAACCGTGGATTGAGTGGAAGCCCTCAAGGAAAGGAAGGCCAGCTTTCTAAGCATGTGGAGCCGATACCGGGAGTCTTGCACTAGGCAAAGTAGGATGGGAGATGTGAACGCAAGGTTTGCTGGGGCAGAGATCTTATTTTTCTGTGAAATCAAAAGCTTTAGCCTGAGAAAGAATCCAGAACACTTGTATGGGAATCTTCGCTAATATTCGCGGCCCCCGCTTCCCCTTCATTTGTCGGAAATCAATTGAGATTACTGTATTGTTAGTCCCTTGTTAGTTTGCATGAACTTAATCTCAGTTCTCCTGCATTTCTGAGTTTGCCAGTTTGGGTTGTTTAAACTTCATGTCTCTTTAAACAGGACTTTAAATGTGCATGTTCAGTGTTTAAAAACTAAATATTTAAAGGTGGCTGCAATCTCAGAGCCAGTGTCCTGTACTGTACTGTAGTTAAATGTGGGACACAAACTGGTGAGGCACAGGTTCAGATTCCTGCTTGATCAGAGAGATGACTCTCTCACCCTGCCTCAGCCCAATTAACTTCACAGGTTGACAAGGGGATAAATAAATAAAAGTGCCGTAAATAAATAAAAATTGTAGCTTCTGCCTCATACAGTCATCAAGGAGGAAACCTACACATACGCTGCTGCTTTTCATAGCCTTCTGCGGGATTAGAACTACTGCTTGGGATGACCTTTATCCATGGTCATAATATGGACATTTGAATCCATAATTAATGGATTTAACGCATACTTCTTAATACATATCAGAAGGAACAGTGTTTAAAATGGGGGCAGGAGAAGGAAGTGGGATGGTTTGAAAGTGGAGGGGAAAAAAGTGAAATACATAAGAGAGTTTTGTCTTTTTGAAAGAACTCTTGTCACCCCACCTTGGACACTTCCAGCCCCCTGATACCCCACAGTTCCCTGAACAGCCTGTAAAAAAGAAGAATACAGCTAGTGAGTAAGAAGTAAAGTGGATTTGCTTTTGAGAAATGCAAGATAACAGATGAGTTTTGTCACAATAAGATGAAAACTCCTTTGCTACTTCCTTCAGTGAGGAACTACAAAAATATTTTGTTTAACAACCCACAAAATGAACAAGTTCTACAATGTCAATAAAGTTCCAAAGTAATGCCTGCAGTGACCTGGCAGGCATTAAAAGAAATTCAAATTTTATGTCTTCTATATTCCCTCTCCCAATATTTCAGTTTTTGTGCTTAAAGAAATGTATGATTTAAGCCATTTTTAAATGATACAGTGATTTAAATATAGTTTATATTGTACATTACTTTATATTAATCTTTTTGTATTATATTTCATTTTATTAAGATCATTTTTCCCTTTGTAGGTCAGAATATTTGGATCTATATTGAAGACATCTGAAGTCACATATAAGAAATTATGTCTTTCTTAATCAAAGGTGCTCAGAAGCATGGTTTTATCTGTCAAATCCACAAAGAATTATTATTTAAAAAATGTATATTGAAGAGTTCAAAAGCCTTGAATGGACAAAATATGAGATCTTCACAAGCATTCTCTCCAGTTGATTCCAAAAATATGGACTCCTTCAGTTATATAATAGTTGGAGCTGGGTCTGCAGGATGTGTTTTAGCCAACCGATTGACTGAAGATCCTCACAATACTGTGAAACTGCTTGAAGCAGGGCCAAAAGATACTGTTTTAGGTAGCAAACGATTAATGTGGAAGATTCATATGCCTGCTGCTTTAACTTACAACCTCTGTGATGAGAAGTATAATTGGTACTACCATACAACACCCCAAAAACAAATGGATAATCGAATTCTGTACTGGCCAAGAGGAAGAGTCTGGGGTGGTTCTTCATCCCTCAATGCCATGGTATATATTCGGGGCCATGCAGAAGATTATAACAGGTGGAGTAAAGAAGGGGCTGTTGGATGGGACTATGAATTTTGTTTGCCTTATTTTAAGAGAGCACAAACTCATGAGTTGGGTGCTGACCTTTATCGAGGAGGGAATGGCCCACTTCATGTGTCACGGGGAAAAACAAAAAACCCTCTTCATTTTGCATTCTTGGATGCAGCTCAGCAAGCTGGGTATCCTTTCACAGACGATATGAATGGTTTTCAACAAGAAGGCTTTGGCTGGATGGATATGACAATATACAAAGGTTAGCTTCTATATGTTCAGTTCAGAAACCATGTTCTGTACTTGCCATAAACACCATTCTTTGTAAACTGTTATAATGGATTGCAAACCTTGGAAATTTTTCAAGAGTTTCACAATTATAGACATAATGAAAAAAACCTGCCTTCCCATAATTGCCGATGTTTCCTTTAAGGGCCTAACACAGTTGCATGCATTGAGAAAGGGATCGGACTAAATCAGAGGTATGAAACTTTTGGGGGGACAAGGGCTACTTCTGGCCTTTGCATGGAATATTGAGGGCTATATATAAAACCTAAATATCATTTAATTTTTAAATTTAAATTATATTAAGTAATTAAACTATTACTCCCCATATATTTAATAATATTAAGATTACAATTCAACAACAACTTTGGAAGAGGTTTTGGGAGCTGCATTCAGGATTTTGGGAAAGAGGCACAGGTGACCCAGGGATGTAGGTCTTTCATTTCTGTGCTCAGTGGCTCCTCATATCCCTTCTGTCTCTGTTAATGTACCTGCAAGAGAATTGGATGTATTCCTGGTCATTCTCAATTCCAGCAGGGCAACAGTGGAAACTTCGATCTATGACAAGTTTACAAAAATATTAGGGAAAGGCTCCCCAAGTGAAGAAAGCTTGCTGTAGCTTTTCTTAATAGAATACTACACATGTTTTTCAGTTAAGGAATAATTGCCTTGTGAATGCTTAAACATGACTGTGTGAGAGCATGGAGATACAGTGGCAGTCTTCTATATTGGTAGTCAAATGCACATATATACTTTTATGCCTATATATTGCATTTATAGGCATAAAAAGGTGGGACATGGAGTCTTTCTACATGATCTGTGTAAGGGGCCAGTTCTAGGACTGTAAATTAGTACTACATCTCTAAGGAACAGGGATAATTTGCAACTAGGATGTTAAATGGTGTATAAGCTGGCTATCCTAATATTTTCTCTCATTTCCTGAAATCTGCCCTTTTCATAAGCCTACCAAAATAAAACAAAATTAAAACATATTAAAAACTAGAGTAAGTAATTCATTTAACAATTACAGTAATAAACTTGGAGAAATGTGTGTACTATTTAATTAATGTAACCTGGAATATTCAAAATTATACAAGGGGCGAACTGAGAACTTTTATAAATGTAGTTATTAGAGTCCATTAACTTTTCAGTGTGAAGCTTAAACATAGTGACTGGTATATTTATTCTTGGCCTGAGTGTTGATAACATTAGTCACGGTTCTTCCTCAACATGCATTCTTTGAAATATTAAAGCAACAGCTTCCAGGAGAATATGTCAAAACAGACAAGATGGCGGAAGTGATGTTGTGATGCAAGCCTATCCCCTTTTATCCACACATGTGACATTGACACATGTACAGAAGGAGCAGTGGTTGTACCACAATGCTGCTTCCACAATTTTGCCTGTTTTGATATCTCCTGCAGACACTGCTGTATTCAAGTTTACCCTTCCTTTCAAAGTACAACTGTAAATAAAGTGAATGAATTACAGCATAAACCTTATATCAAGTAATAATTAATTTTAAATATTCAGTATAGAAGAACAGAAATTGCAAGATATATCATAAAATTAGATGAAGTAGTGTTCCTGATAGATATCTGTCTTGTGAAATGCTCTGGAGGAAAATCAAAGTTGAAGTGTTCCTCCTGCCAGAATAGTACCTACACATATATCTAATAAAACTCCCCTGAGGAATTGCTTATCAGCTTGGTAAATTAGTATGAACATGGGATTCTTTTGAAAACAGACCCATAGCCAGTATTATCTTCATTAATTTGCTGGTTCGCTGGAATTGTTTATTTTGGCTGACAGACCAACTTCTTTCCACATTAAATACACAGTAGAACAACAACTGAATGATAACACATTAACCATTTGGTTTTTGTTTAACTCATTTCATTTGAAAGGTGGTGTGGAAAGGTCAATACTTCTTTTTCCTGGGCGTGGGGTTTGGCACACAAGTCCAGAATTGCAACTTAAACTGTTCCCTGCTCCATCCTTAGATGATCATAATTGGTCACAATAGCAGCTGTTAGAATAGAAATGGATGCCTGAATTAGACCCAGTATATAGCAACAATGTAGAATTAGGGCAAGTATTACATGCTAAACTTAAAAGACTTTACAAGCAATAGACAGCTATTGTACATGAGATATATAAAATCATTACAATTCCTTGTGCATTTAGATGCATGTTGATTTAAGACCATTCTGATCACCTTGGTAGATTTTTTGCTGGGAGCTGAATGGGTCAAGTGCAGCCCTACTTGAAACCTCTTGTTGGCCTTTAATACCACTGACATGCTATTGTTAAGGACTGTCCAATAGAGTTGGACTTTAGAGGCATTATTTATGGTGATTCCAGACTTTCTCGTTGGTAAAGTCCAAAGGGAGATTTTTTGGTACAGTGAATACTGATATGTGGTGTTCTGCATGGTTTTATCTTGGCCTTTTAAAGTTATTTAATATCTGTATGAAATTGCTGGGAGGAATCATTCAAAACTTTAGAGATATTATCAGTATCACATCTGATATTGTGATCTGACTGCAAGAAAAGGCTCAGGGCCCTTGAGCATTATCTTGTTCAGTACCAAGATAGATGAGCAAGCCAAACCTAAATCTAGACAATGTTAAACTTACTTTCAATCAACTGAAAGGGTAGACCGAGAATTGCAGATTACATTGGTTTCTACCTGCACACCCAGCAACAGGAAGATCAGGCTTGTAACTGGTGTACAGTATCATGATCGGATCCCTCTCATACAGAAAAATCTGGTGGTCATTTTTGTGGGAGGAGAGGTCACAGTTCAATATATTGATTTTAATTGAGAAACTGTTAAGAAATGGTTATTTTACAGATTACCTGATTAATATGAGACTGTCTGGATCAGAAGTAGTCTTTTTTCTGCACTTACAGAAGCCTGCCTGTCAGACATATAGAAAAGTATTTTTCTCCAGCTTTGGAACAGGCTCCATTTGGAGTTGCAGTTAGTCTTCACTTTCTTTCTCTTTGTCAGAAAAAGATTCAAAATGTTGTTTTTTAAATTATTTTGTATGTTGTTTTAGCAATTTCTTTGTGTTTTATATATGTTATTAGTGTTATATGTTATGGTTATTTTTATATTGTTTCCATTATTGCTCTGCTTTGATGGAGCTTCAGTTGCTGGACTGCAGTCATAACTTCAAAGAATTTTAACATATAATGACAGAACAGATAAATCACTTTGGTATTTATTTTATTCATTTTTTAAATTCAAAACCAGGTTTTTCTAGGGCAGCTTACAATACTGAGATAAGACAGATTATTTGTATTGCAGCTGCTGTCAAAATAAAAACATGTATTTTATAGGTAAAAGGTGGAGTACAGCCAGCGCATACCTTCGCCCTGCGTTATCACGTCCAAACTTGTCTACAGAAGACAGTACACTTGTAACCAAAGTTTTATTTGAAGGGACCAAAGCAATTGGTATTGAGTATATTAAAAACGGAGAAAAGAAAAAGGTAAGAATGTACAGTATTGTTTCTCCAACTACAAAAAGAAAATAAATGTTTGGTTGTACGAACATTTCATTTTTGGCTCATTAGAGTTGTAGCAAAGCTTATTATATTGTTGGAAATAAGAGAGAAATGCAGTTGACACTTAAAATCCACTTCATGTATTGATCTCAAGAAAGCACTGAAGTAGCCTGGTCAAAAAATAATGATTACCTCTCCATTCTGCAGATGGCTTGAGTTTTCCATTTACAGGTATGTTGGCTGTTTAGCTTTTGTTCAAAGTTTCCTCCAAAATTGGGCCTAATCAATTTTTTAAATTACAGATATAAGGTTGTAGTTTTCTTTTCACGTTTAGAAATGAATTCCATAGTGTTTTGAAAACAGATATTCCTTTCACTGAGAGTCTCGTCATTCTAATGCTTTAAAGATAGAGGAAGAAAAATAAAATCTCTTTCTAGATTAACTAAGTTCTAATACTTTCTTCCAAACTTCTGAGTAATTTTAATACAGAAGAAACTTGAATAACTTGACCTTTTTAGTTGCTCTTTTCCATAACTTACAGTGGGGCAAAAAAGTACTTACTCAGCCACCAATTGTGCAAGTTCTCCCACTTAAAAAGATGAGAGAGGCCTGTAATTT